ACAGAACTAGGAAACTTTTGAATATGAAGCTTGATTGTCAATAAGCCACATTTCTGACTTTTCACAATAATTTTGTCAAGAACAATGTCACACGATAAATCAACACTAAAATTAGCAACAGTAAAACAGATATCAAAATGAAGCGATAATAAATTCGACAAGCCAACCCTGTGTATTGCTTCGTTTCCTTGGTATTGGTACTCGAAGTGAAATTGTCGACCAAGAAAATGGATTGAACTTGAACATATTCTGTTGAAATGCCGAGATATTTGTTTATCTGTACATTGAGGATTTACGTGAATATTATTTGATTGAATGAATGCTCACTTACTTGATCAATCATCGCGTCATAGCTTGTAATTTGTGTGATGTCGATGTTGGATAGACTAACAGCAAATGCTGTGTGTATAATTTGTTCACCTAAAACAAACATAATTAGAAGTTAACAAAGTAGTCTCGTATCTAAAAGACTGTTTTTACTACTATCAGAATTGTTTGTCGCTGATAAACCGGAAATAATCAATAAAAGAAAAGGACTGATAATCAAAACAAGATGGTTCTGCATACTGATTTGTATACAGTAGAACGCGCAATATAGTTTGACTTTTTATATTCGTTTTTCGATCACATGCGTTTATCAAACATTTGAATAGGCGTCCAAACGCAAGGTGCGTGATTTCTTCGGTAATAAACTATTACTACCTAGGAAAAATATAATATTTATTTTGATTGGTGATCAACTTTCAAAATCATAAGTCGGAACAAGACACTATGTCAATATCTGATCGCAGATCGTTCGTAGAGCAATGTACCAGACTTTGTCTAATTTTCATCGATGATGCTTCCGTGAGTAGGAATGTAAAAGTTATGCACACACGATGTTATTCCAAAGATTTGTATAGAACATGTGAAGAAAATATGCATTTATAATTTGTTACAAAATGTTTTTTGCCTATGCATCCCAATGTTCAATTGTCAGAGTAATCATTCTTGTCCGGATCATTACAGGCGTATTCGGCCTAGTATTATTCATAGTTGAAAAACGTGTACTCGGTAATGATGGCGTTGATAATATAAATGGTTGTACTAATTGTCGGGAATACGCAATACGAATCGAGGTAGGTTATCATTTTCCACAAATCTGGTTCCCAGAATACATCCACAAGTAAAATCCACAATTGTGGATAAATATCCCTGATTCCATCTAGCCGTGAATAATTAGGGATTTTAAATCGTGGATTTCACAATTTAGGGAAATTTTGTGAAAACCATTTGTGACCGACCATATAGACCAATCTTCAATCTCCTATCTGGACACCAGAATCCTTTGATACAGTGACCACACTCCTACTTAAGGATCTGGCGACCAAACTCATTCGACTCAATGATCGCGATTCTATCCAGGGACGTGGTAACCAGATTCATGTGACACAGTGACTCGATTACTACTTAAGCAGCTGGTGACCAGATTCATGTCATTCAGTGATCGCAGTTCTATTTCGTAGGTTATCATTTGCCCAGGATTGTGGTGCCCAGAATCGGTCCCAGGAAAAGTCCCGAAATATTTCGGATCTTTTTTCTGGGGCTGATTCTGGGCACCACAATTCTGGGCAAATGATAACCTACCAAACAGAACTGCGATCACGGAATCACATGAATCTGGTCACCAGGCAGAAGAATAAGTTTTAGCCTATATGATAGGGTGTAAGTGGTTTCCGTAAAAATCCCTAAATTGTGAAATCCACGATTTAAAATCCCTAATTATTCACGGCTAGATGGAATCAGGGATATTTATCCACAATTGTGGATTTTACTTGTGGATGTATTCTGGGGACCAGATTTGTGGAAAATGATAATCATTCCGAATCGATGTTCACACATTGTTAATCTAATTTGTCGACAATCGAATGATTTAACAGACAGATCGGTTTCACTTTTGCTTGAAGTATCTTTCTTAGCGAAAAAACACGAAACAATTGCAGAAGTGATTGATGTCAACTAGTGACGTTGAAGTACAAAAACTTCGAAACTTACCATATCATATGATCCTTTTTTATGAAAAACGGGTGAGGGTTAGCTTACCTAGTAGGAATCACTTGGAAAAAGAGATGAGCTACCAAAATTGTCGCTGGTAAATAGTTTACGAAGCCACCAACAAACAGGTTTACGTTACAAACCGAAATGTTGAGAAAGCGACGATGATTTGTGTAGAATTTTCTGAGAAGCTTTTAAAAATTGACGATTTTGTTTGGAACGTCATAGAAATATTTACAATACTTTTCTTCATACCTATTTAAGAATGATAGTTGGACGAGGGATCCAAATCCTGGATTCATTGACTGTTTTATTTCCCTACAAAGATGCTCGATTTCATATTTGTCATTTTCGATTCAACCGATTGCGATTTAAATATTCTCTTTATGATCTTCATTTCTAACTCTCACTTCTATCTTTCTTTTTCACGAAATTTCATTTTCTACAAGATTTTCCACAAAGTATTCAATTCTCTTGTTTGTTATTTCAAAGAAGCCAAAAGTGAGATATTCTCTTTCTTTTCAAAATTTATTTTTTCAAGAGCTTTTCTTCACACACCATTTTTCATTCCAAATCACATGTCCTTTCGATTTGCAGGTTTAAAATAAACCTTTTTCTTTTTCAAATAACTATATCAAATCTCTGGATTCGATCACTTTCATTATCAACAACATAAAGATTCCTTTCGCCATCAAATAATAATCCACGAGGAGAAGATAATTGATTCAATTCATTTCCTTTTCCATATCCATCAAAAATCACTTCATCATATTTATTTCCTTCACATCAACGCATTATTCAATGATTCCACTTATCTGGAACATAAATTCAACCCTTACGATCAACAGTAATTCCACCAGGACCATTCAATTGATTCCGATTATTTCCACCAGTAATAACAACTCCTTCGTTCGCACCTTTTCTCTATTTCATCACACGATGATTCCCAGAATCTGAAATATAAACAAATTGTTCACCATCCACAAAGACAAATGTTGGATCATCCAATTGATTAAAATTTCCACCCACAACTACTTTTTCTTCCAATTTTCCATCTTCCTACTTCCTGTTTATCATAAACCATCGTGAGGATGAGGGTATGGTGTGTGAGCTCACTCTCACCCTGCACAACAGAACGGCTTTCATAAATGCTAGTAGATATTCAGTTGTGGGTATAACATCGACTACAGATGAGTTTTCATGTGATGAAATAGAAGCGACATCGAAAGATGGTCTAATGAAGATGACTTTACGCAAAGGTTTTACAACATCTCATAATACTCGAAGTGTGAAATCACTGAGAGGAATCTATAGAAACTGTATGGACCTATAGTTCGATTGAGTTTGTTGGCGATTTCATTTTGTACATCAGATGAACGTTTTCGAAAGTTGTGTCGAAGCAGTTCAATTCGTTGAGTTATTACATTTATTTGATGAAGAAAAAACTTACTGATTTGAAATTCTAATAAAATTTTTCGAAGAAAGTTCTATGCTTTTATCTAATGCTCCTTATCAACCAAAGTGACTTTTGTATTTATCTCCCGCATGTATTGCTTTCACTATGGACTCTCAATGATATACGACTTCTCCTCTTACTCGTTTCGTAATTTGACTGCTTTCTAGAAAATACTTCTTTTTTTTATCTATGTCAATATGTGTCAATATCTTATCTTTACAAAACGAATACTGTAGTTGGAAAAAGCCAATGGACACTATTGCATATAATATGATTCTCTTCCGAGATTTAATTACAACAACAGAATTATGTCGTCGAATCAAATACGTACAAGGGATATGAATTTTGGCATCAATCGTTACAATAGAGCTGGCATTGTAGCTGCTAAAAATACTGATATCGAAATAGCTGTGGGTAATCCACGAAATACAACTATTCGAGTAGATGTCAATAAGAACTATTCATCGAGATACAATCATGCAGTGAAACAATGTAATTACTTTCGTCAAAATGGCCAAGCTACCAAAAGGAATATGCGTGGTGGTGATTTTTTCTTACGAACAAAACTGGCAATATTTCTTATACTTGTCACTATTGTTTTTGCTGGTTTAAGTGTTCGGTGGAAGTATTTTGTGCCTATACCATTGGTAATCGCAATAGTCTACATGGTCTTATCAATTTTAAACTTACATATCGGTCGAACAAATGGGAATCTCTTTACGCTAGAAATGATGCCTGTGACCGAAGGCAGTTTAACTCTAATAAACGAATTTTATAAAATACCGGTTCATGGACGTATACAAAATCAATTCGTACTTGGAGTAATACAAAACAACTCAGCACTCATTGCTCAACTACAATCAGAACATCGTAATTCGATCGAAATTGAATTGATGTTCTACACACCTACATATTACAGCTACACAAAATATGTTGCCAAAGCTTTGGGATACTTTTTTCTCTTTTTAATTTTATTTGTTGTCGCGATTTTCTGTGTTATTACAAAAATTGATGACTCTTGATTGAATTTATTGTCGTCCATTTGTTCGAACGTAATGAAGACACGCCCATTTACATTGTATAGAATATTGCACGGAGTAGAGTATGACGGTAGAAGGTTATAAAAAGCGTACGGGTATACATACAAAAAAAGAAAACGAAAAAAAACATGCGTTACACACTATCAAGTACGTTTATACAGCTTTTCTTGATACTTCGTCTGGTGGAAATATGAAGAGTTCTAACGGAACCACGTCGACGTCTTATGGAACTAGTCATAGTCACATTGACCCAATCTTCACTCTGCTTATGCCCGATCCGGAAAAGTTCAGTCTTGAATATGGTGAAACCAATTTCAAAAAAGACTATTGTCTCGATGTTACAAACGAACACTGTTCGATAATCAACCGCTGGTGGAATGTGCAATATAAATGTCAACAGACGATTATCCACAGCGTTGAGCAGCCATTATTCCATACAATCATCATCGTACTCGTTCTGATCGATTGTGTGTTTGTTAAAGCTGAACTTTTCTTTGATTTTCTCATACTTCATAAAGCATGTCACTCGAACACAAGCAGCAACTATTCGACTGTACATAATCATCATAATGATATGGAAATTGTCATTAAAGTTCTTGAATATTTATCCCTAACAATCTTAACGGTATTTGTTATGGAATTATTTGTGAAAATCTATGCATATGGACGATTCTGGTGGAATCTTTCCGAGAGAAAAATGGAATGGATTGATGCCATTATTGTTCTGTTGTCTTACATGATTGGTTTTAGTGTCATATATCAAAATAATATATTTGTGAAAACGACATTGCTCGTTATTTTTCTTCGTTTATGGCGTTCGGTAAGGCATAAGCATGATTGTGTTTTCATTTAATTAGTTTCTTTTTCAGGTACGAATCATTCACAGTATTGTACACACACTCTTATTTCAACATGAACAAAAGAAAAAGCGTCTATTTACAAGTTACCATGAGCTAGTCGAAATATTCTTGACTCTTTCAGAGAAAAAGACGGCAATCCTATCGGAATGTGCTGATAGCATCGTTGTGGAGAAATTTGAAGTCGTTGATCATTCTTGCAGAGCAGTTCTACAACAATGTACTGATTCATCTTCGTTGAGTGTTGTTAATGATCTTACTCATGATTTACAAAATGCCGTAGAAGAACTGCAGCAGTTGTCAATTAAAACAGATATGAAACAGTTAAACTAATCCGCCCATTTTTCTATGCTAATGTTAGATAAACAAAAATATTTTTCGATACTTTCTGATTATTCATATTCGTGAATAAAACCTGATGACTCATATATTAGGCGTTGTGTACTTACTATCAATATGTTTTTATAATAACCTGTGATCCATGTGGTGATCATAATTACTAACCAACTCAATAAGCAAAACCCATTCTTACTCGTTCTGTGTGTGTTTATACATATATATACTGTTTTCATCTCATTTGTTCGCATCGGTAACTCATACGTACGTATAACGATATTCAAATGTCGTTCTTTGAAAATCTTTTTAATCACGATGAAAGCAGACAAGCTCACCAAGATATCTATGGAGATCAACCTCGACATCATTCATCTTGGACGCATGAACTAATATCAGGTGCAGCAGGTTTCGAAGGCAAGATTTTTTTAAATTTTTGCTCTATACTCATATAAGTCCGAATAATTTAGCGATGAAAGCTTATGAAGATCATGTTCGTAGAACTGGTGAACAAGTCTCGCATCCGCTGATGAAAGAAATGCTTGCCGGTTTTGCTGCTGCTGAAGTCGATAAACTTTTCGAAACGAAAGGACTTGATTTTATCGATCGAGAAGAAGCGAAACGACGTGCAGTACAACAAGCACATCAACTAGCGGATGAGAAATATGGACAAGGTGGAACATTTAACGAGGGCCAACATCATCATCATCATCACCATCTTTTCTCTTAAATCAACAAGATTAACATTGATTTCGATGTTTATTTATTCTTCATAAAACAAATATAACAAATACTATTTTCCAGCAGATTTGTTTATCATTGTTGCATTTTTATGTCAACATACATGTGCATGTGATCACTTCATGTAGAAACAAAAAAGAAACTCTTTTTTTTCTTTTGATCAGTGACTATGTTTTTCTTTCATCTGAAACAGACAAGTTAATTAGATGCATCGCCAACGGGTGTCGTTGGTGTTATCCGTGAGGATTTTTATTTTCTAGAGAATTCACAAATGCTCGTTAGGTTTGCATCGAAGAAGTACAATAACTGCCTTGAAAAAGAAACCAAACTCTCATCTGTTTAATATTACGTCACGTGCTCAAGCGAGTTCTTTCCTCTTTCTCTTTCTCTCTTTTTGGGATATTCTGAGTTGAACTTCTCAGCATCGTTAATTCCAGTATTCACGGCGTGATAAAAGATAAAAGAGAGGACTTGCACGACGATTATTTCTGATTATAATTATCATCTGTTGAGCATCTCACACCGCCATTTGCTAATAGACAAAATGTCGTCGTATATTTATTACATTCATAAGAGTTCCATACTTTTTCCAAAATGAACTCTACATTCGTGACAAGCACATTAACATTCACATACGATGCATTATCAATAAATATTCAAGCATGGTTCATCCCACTTGATATTCTCGCAATTACATCGATGATTTGTGTTATTCTCCTGTCCATCGTTTATTTATTTCTTCTCATTGTCGATAAAGCATGTCACACCGTTCCAATGTTGCTAATTGGTAATACTTGTTTCATTGCTTTCCTAGCTGCGTGTAGTATTCTCAGCATGTCGATATTCACACTTCAAAATGATCTCAAACAAATTAAATATCAGGATCCATACTGCATCTTTCGAGGTTATACTGCTTATGTCGTTTGTACACTATTCAACTTCTCATTCGTTCTTCAAGCTGTACATAGATACTTGACCGTTGTTTATCCAACTCGTTTCTTTTTGCA